TGGTGGACCATGTGATCCTCAGCCTATAATGACCATGAGACCAGAACTAGATGGTGCCCAGCTACCACTGTCAACCACTTGGAGGGGGATTGGTCCAGGAGATCCTGGATAGAGTGGGAAAACAATGTGGAACAAAACTCAAAATCGTAAAAAAAAAAAAAGAAAGACCAGGTTTACTGGTCTGATAGAGTCTGATGAAACCCCTAAGACTATGGCCCCTGGTTACCCTTCAGGTCTAGAACTGAACTCTCCTGTGGCCTCCAGCAAAACAATAGACAGGCATATGGGGTGAACGCTTACACCAGCTACGTACACTCTTCAGAGCGATCAATAAGGGCCATGTTTGCACAGGGAGACAGCTGGGGGTGGGGGGCAGCGGGAGTGCATGGGAGGGAAGCACACAGGGAAAGGATAACCAGAGGGAGGAAGCAGGAAGAGAGCTGTCACACTGTGGGGAAGTGCAGTCAATGTCATGAAACAAAATGTGTCTAGACTGTTGTATGGAAAATGAATTTGCTCTGTAATTTTTTAAAAAATAATTTTCTCTTTTAATAAAGCCTTTGATACATTCTTCCATCACACCGACTGTGACTCCTGGAGACTGTACGTGCTCCACAGGGTTTTCAATGGCTGGTTTTTTGGAAGTACATTACCAGGCCTGTCTTTCGGGGCACCCGGTGTGGACTCAAACCTTCAGCCTTTTGGTTAGCTGCTGAGTGCATTAACCATTTGCAACACCCAGAGACTGTGGGTATATTCCTGTTGTTGTTGTTACGTGCCATCAAGTCGGACCCGACTCATAGCGACCCCTCCTTTTCCGAGGCAGTATCACTGCAGAAGTAGATTGCCCCATCTTCCTTCCAAGGACTGGCTGGTGGGTTTGAACCTCCAGGCTTCTGGTTAGCAGTCAAGTGCCTTAGGTCACCTTTCAATTAATTTCCTAGGGCTGCCATAATAATTTACCACAAACATCGTGGCTTACCACAATATAGACATTTATTCTCTGTTTGGGGGCCAGAAGTCCAAAAGCAAAGTGTCGGTAGGGTAGGTTCTTTTTGAAAGCTCTGGAGGGACACTCTGTTCCACCCTCTCTTCCAGCTTCTGGTGGATCCAGGAGTTCCCTGACTTGTTGCCACAGCACTCCAATCTCTGCCTCTGTTGTCCCATGGCCTCTTCCTTGTGTGTCTCAGTGTTGGTGTCCAAATTTGCCTCTTGTGAAGACAGCAGTCACTGGATCTTATTTTAACTTAATTACATTTGCAAATACTCTAAGTGAGGTCACATTCACAGGTACTGGGGATTTGGACTTCAACATACCTTTCCTGGGGTACAATTCAACTTAGAACACATCTTAAGGAATTAAGAATCATAAGAACCCTTCAGCATTTGAAAGGCCAATGAGTAGGGTAAACAGTTCATGCTTAGCTAGTGGGTGTAGTAAATTACTTAGTGTGGCTTTTCTACCCATAATAAGTCTTTGTAAACTCCAAGGTGGAATTTGCCATGAGCAACTGAGGAGCTCCTGATTGCTGAAGTTGTCCACCTGGGGTATTTCTGTTGGGAGTAGCACTAAACAATGTTCTGGGAGGTTCCTGCTCTCTCTCAGGTGTTTAGAATTCTGATGTTATGATTGGTTGGTTTGGCCACTCTGCTGGGCTCAAAAGGAGGCCTCCTAGAGGCAGAGCTCTCTCTGACTGCTGGCTGAGGAAGGACGCGCCCCTGAGAGACACGTGCTGCTGGGAAAGAGATGCTGCTGGAAAAGAGACGCAAGAGACATGCATTGCTGAAACACTGAGGGACACGCACTGCTGGGAGAGACACTGTGAGAGACGGTGGGCTGGGAGAGAGACGGAGCATTTTTCCTGAACTTGAATTGTAGCCTGGTGCTTCCCTAATAAACCCCATAATCTGTAAGTTCTGTGTGGCCACTGCAGCGAATTATCGAACCCAGGAGAAAGGTGGTGGGTGCTTTGGGAGGAAGGGCTGGAGGGAGGCAGCATGTTTGGCCTTGCAGTAATAGGCCTTGGGCTACTGATGGTGATTCTGTTTTCCTCTTGTGGGATTAGAGGAGGTCAGAACATGTGGCCTCCTTGCCCTTTTTGCAGCTGCCAACTGGAAGGTTGGTGGTTTGAACCCACCCAGTGATGCCATGGAAGAAAGGCCTGGTGATCTGCTTCTGTAGACTACAGCCAACAAAACTCCATGGAGCTCAGTTCTACTCTGTAACACTGGGGTTACCGTGACTCAATGACAATTTTTTTTTTTTTTCTGCCTTTGTCTCTGGGATGGGGGCCACTGAGATGTGTGCTCTACACTCTCCCTGCACCTCCAGCAGGACTGTACCCCAGTTGCACACAAAGAGCAGTACTTGCTTTGGAGCCCCCTAAAAGGCTCCTTCCCTCCGTCTCAATTCCCCACCTCCTACAGGTGCTTCTTGGGGTCAATTCTCAAATACCCCACATGCGTTGGAATCTTCATCTTGGGGACTCTTTTTTTTTTATTTTTTTTTTAAATTGTGATTTGGGTGAAAATTTACAGAGCAAATTCACTTTCCATACAGCAATTCATATACACATTGACTTATGACATTGACCACAATTTACCACAATGCAACAGCTCCCCTCCCACTTCCTCCCCATAGTTACGTCTTCCCTGTGTCCATCCCTCCATGCACTCCTGCCCCCTGAGCTGTCTCCCTGTGCATGAAAAGCCCTTCTTTCTCCCATGACTGATCTCTCCAAGGAGTGTACCTACCTCACGTAAATGTTCAACTCCTATGCCTGTCATTTGTTTGGCTGGAAGCCACAGGTGTGGGTTCATTTCCAGACCTGAAGGGCAGCTAGGGGCTGTAGTCTCAGAGGTTCCACCAGGCTCTATCAGACCAGCAAACCTGGTCCCTTGGGGACTCTCTTCTGGGAAATCCAAATGAGGTTGGGCGTAAACACCCTGATACCCTTACCCTGGGTAGGATCATTTTGCTTTACACTGTCCCCCTGCACTTTCCAGTAGAACGGAAACCCCAGTTGCCCATGACCCATCTGCTCATGGGCACCCCCTTTCTGTCTCTATTTCCTCCCTCCCACTGGGGCTTCCTGGGGTCACCTCCAGAATAACCCACATCTTCAAATCCTCTTCCAAGGGTCTGCTTTCTGGAAACCCCAAACCAGGAAAGCCCCTCTCCCCGTTCTAAGTCATCGAGACAATCCTGCAGCAGACCTCACAAGATACAGCAACGTCTGCCATCTGTCCCTGGGCTATTTCTGGGACATACCATGGAACAGTCAGAACATGAAGGGCTATTTCTGGGACATACCATGGAACAGTCAGAACATGAAGGTCTTAATACATCCTCATTCCACACTGACTCCACCAACTGGTTTCTCAACAGCACCTGCTTGGTTTTCTTCCTGAATATCAACTGGCAGCAGAGGAGGGGGTGGGGCAGGGGAGGTACAGGTGAGCAGAGCAATGGACCAATAAGGGACCACAGACTTGAGTGAAAACCAACTAGAAACATTTATTAAAAAAATAAGCAGGTTACCTGGGAGCCAATCCAGCGAATACTGTCACCCTTGAGAGGGTGATGTACCGCTGGTTGGCTCTGACATTCAATTTGGACCAAAGGCATGACAACCCCACCAGAGTGTTGCTCCCTGTGCAGCCGAGCTCCCAGAAGGCCCCCAAATACATGATCTCCCCGAAGGCTTGAATGGAAAACTTCATCAAGCAGGCAGAGACCACACCTGAGACACAAGGGCAGGGAGGCCGAGCAAATGGGGCCAGGTGGGCAAGGGAGACCCCAGCCCCCTACCCACCCTGCACCCCATCTAGGAGGGGCTGGACCATAGGTGGAGGAAGAGCCACCCTTCCCCCAGGTGGGATGGGGGGTATTGTCTGCAACACAACTTAAGTGAAGGAGGGGGTACAAAGAACAACCCAACTCAATCTCCCACCCAACCTGGAGTCCATGAGGCGTGGCACACAGGTGCTCAATATGCTTGTTCTGTGAAGAAATGCAGGGACTCGTCTTGTTCATCTGCGTCCCAGCACTTGGTATGTGGCTAGCACCCAGCAAGTGTTAAAAAATGGGTTAAATAAAGGTCATGTGCATTTTTTGATCTCTCATGCCTAGCACATAGTAGGTATTCTTCAGACAAATGGGGAAGAAACCTACAAAAGAAGGAAAGCACCTTGTTTACTGCCAGCTGCAATACCTAGCTCAGCTTTTGCACACAGCAGGCACTCAATAAACGCAACTGCATCAATCAGAACTTAACTTTGTGCCACCAAGCAAGCACATACTAGGTGCTTAATAATGTTTGAATAAATGAAAGTATCTTGTTTATCTCAATATTCCCAGTATCTGGGATGGAGCCCAACACACAGTGGGGTACTTAATAAATACCTGAATGTGTTTAAAATCTGAGTGTGCATCACTAGTGCCTGATTCATGGTTGCCATTGACTCGATTCTGACTCATAGTGACCCCATGAGACAGAGTAACACTGTTTCAGAGGTTTTTCTTGGCTACAACCTTTACAGATCGCCAGGTCTCTTTCTCCTACGGAATTGCTGGGTGAGTTTGAACAGCCAGTCTTCTAGTTAGCAGGCAATGCTTCACTGTCATGCCACCAGCGCTGATTCTTGGTAGGAGATCAATATATGTTTGAAAACTTAGTCAACAAATGATTAAAGGCATAATTAGGCCTCATTCATCGCCAAAGCACAGGAACTGGAACACAGTGCTTCATAAATGCCAAGCATGTGAACAAACAGATGAACGCAGAGGTCTAGCTCCGGCCCAATTTCCCGGTGCCCAGCCCAAGACTCAGCATAAAGCAGGCACTCCATGAACGCTGCCTGCATGCATGTGATTGCTGAGCTGTTGCTGGCTGGACACATCCTGCTTCGAGAGGAGACGTCACAGTCTGCCGGCTTCCCCTGTGACGGCTGCTGCTTTTTTTTTTTTTTTTTTGTTATTTTATTTTTGCACTGGCCCCTCAGAGCTCGTCACGAGCTGCGCTGTCCAGCGGTGACTGCAGCACGTCAGAGTTCTTGGCCTCACGGCTCAGAGCCTGCTGCTGCCGCATCTTCTGGGACTTGGCACGGTCCCAGTCGGTCTTGACATGCTCATTGTTCCACACAACTGAGGTCTCTGTGTCACTCACGTAGCCATCATCCCCTGTGTAGTGTGTGGGGTAGATGAGCAGCGGCTCCACTGAGAAGGCACGCAGGTTGCGGGGGGAGAAGTGGGCCTTGTACTCAGACCTGTGGGGGAGGGGGAGGGACAAATGGAGGCAGAAGTGGGTGCACGGAGGGGTCAGTGGAAGGAACAGTGGACAGAGATGGACAGATGGAGGGAGCAGTGGACAAAGGAGAGACAGATGGAACAGGAACAGAGGAGGGACAGATGGAGGGAACAGGGACAGACGGAGGGAACAGGGACAGGCGGGACAGATGGAGGGAGCAGTGGACAAAGGAGGGACAGATGGAGGGAACAGGAACAGATGGAGGGACAGATGGAAGGAGCAGGGGACAGAGGAAAGAAGAACACTCCCTGGGACCCATAAGCCTCCCACCTTTCACACCCCACCAGTGAGCCCGCTCACCCACCTACCCATCTGCCCACCCACTCACACCGGGTGCTTGTCAAACATGACAGGCAGAAACTCATCCACAGGCAGCATCTTGGTAAGTGGCTTGGCAGCCAGCAACTTCTGGGCACCTTGCAGGGACAACACATAGGCCAGCGTCCAGTACGAGTAGTCGGCCTCCACCAGGTTTCTCACACGGGGCACAGCCTTCTCAGGCTGCTCCACCTGCATCCGCTTCCGGCCCACGTAGCTGGGGGTAGATGAGCTGTCATCTGGCAGCACCGTGGCCTCCTCCCACCCCCCAGAGAGCACGTCAAGGCCTGGGTGGAGCCAGGCCTGGCAGGTATGAGATGCAAGGTGGGTGGAGGGGAGAAGTTTGCAGGATCAAACCCCACAGGGCCTAGGGGTCAAAAGCAGAGACTAGACTTTTGTCCAAAGATACTAGGGGGACCATGGAAGGATCTGGAGCTGAGGAAAGTGGGATCATTTGGGCATTCACTGAGGCTGCACTCAGGGGCTGGGTAGGGAAGTTGCTCAGGGCTGGGAGGGATATGGGACACAGAGCAGGGCACACAGGGAGTGGTCAGAAAAGGAGGAATGGGTTACTGTCCACATTACAGCATGGGCACAGACTAGGGTGGTATCCCCAAAACCTAGATCAGGGCCCCGCACACAGGAAGGAAAGAGGGAGAATGAACCAGCCAAGGGACGTGAATCAAAGACTCCTTCAGAAATATGCTGGCCACACCCATCCTAGGCCATCTAAGCCAGAGGCTCCTTGGCCACATCCCCAAGACCTTCAGTCATGCCCACAGGCTTCCTAGCGAGCTCCCAAACACTTACCACACCCACTCAGGTCCCAGGTGCCCTGACCACACCTCCAAGCTCTCTAGTCTTGCCCAAAGGCTTCTTGGCTATAATCTCATGTCTTGACCACACCCACCCAGGCTTCAGGCTACTGCTCCAGGTACTCTGGCCACATTCCCAAACTCTTTAGCCATACTCACAAGCTTCCTGGCAAGCTTCTAAACTCTGGCCACACCCTCAGTTCTCCAGGCAAGCTGCCAAACCCTGCTCACAGCCACTCAGGCTGCACCCCAGGTACCTGGTCTCACTGTAAGTGCTTCAGCCATGCCCACAGGCTTCTGGGAAGCTCCCTAGCTCTGGCCATGCCTATTCAGGTCCCTCTTGAGATTCTGTGACCATACCAGACTTCAGCCACGCACACATGCTTCTGGCTACCTGGCCACGCCCACCAGTGTTCCAGGCCAGCCCCAAGACCCCTAGCCACACTGACAAACTTTCTGATCAAACCCCTAAAGGCCCCAGTCAAGTCTCCAAGTCTTGACCAAACTCACTAGCTTCAGACCAGGTTCCCTGTACACCTGCAGGTCAAGCTCCCAAGACTTGGCCCAGCCCACAGGCCCTATGGCTCTAAGCCTTTGTAGTACTCAGATGCAAGGACCAAAGTCCCCAGCCCAGACCACACCCAGGGCCCTTCTGGCAGGTGACCATGTCCCAGGCCATAGGCTATTACCCTAACCCACCCCTACACCAGTAGCCACTGGAGCCTTGGCTATGCCCCAGCTCTACTCCACCCAGGCCACACCCCCAGCATCAGTCCCAGGAGTCCCCAGCTCTACTGGGCCTCTCAGGCCCCCTAACTCACATAAGGTCCCAGTCCAGGCCTTCCTGCTCCACATCTCGCATGAGGTTCACCAGGCGTCTCTTGAAGAAGATCTCAAAGCGCAGATCATCCTCAAACACCAGTGATTTCTGCAGTCCACGATCCACCACCTAAGTGAGATGCCCCGCCCAGGTCACAGGGAAACCAAGGCTAAGCCTAGCCCTGGAGGCAGTGGCTCAGGAGAAATCAACATAAACCCTTCTCTCTGGCTGCAGGAACTTCCCAGCCATCACCTCCTCAATGCTACTCTCACCCACCTGGGGTGGCCTCAGGGCCTTTGCCTATGCCATGTTTTTTACCAGAGCACCTTTCCCCAATAAGCAGCAGGGCCAGTTCCCCCTCACCCTTCATGTCTCAAATGTCACTTACCCCGGAGGCCCAAAGCCACTGTGCTGAGGACAATTCATAGTCCTTTCCTGTGGGCACACTTTACTTATCATTTCATTATTTATCTCCTAGTGGTTTATATCATTAGCCTTCTACCTCCCTATTTTCTGAGCCCCCTGAGGAGGGCCAGGTTTGTCTTGGTGGCTGGCACAGGCCTAGCACCAGCTCAGGGCACATTGCAGATGCTTGGCAAATACTCCTTGAATGAAGGAGCTTGACAATCCTCATGACCGCCTCCTAGAAAAACTGAGGCTCAGCCTGGGAAGCTCCTTCTTGCTCACAGAGCTCACCTCACTCACGTTTACCTCCCTAGCCTCAGTTTTCACACCTGCACAACAGAAGGGCAGCAGCCACCCATCCAGGGGTGCCGTGGGCCAAAATGAGACAGTTCAGGTGAAGCAATCACTGACGAGAGGCCACATTTACTTTTGTTGTGCAAAGCCAGTGTGGGCTGTGGGCAGCTCCCTCCCTGACTTTCTGGTCCCTCCCCAAATCCTTAAGGAGCCTCTCCCACCCCCCACCAGCACCCACCTCCTTCCAGATGGAGTAATGGCTGAGGAAGCAGCCCAGCTCACCCTTGGTGAGGGGCCGCCCATGATAGGGGTCTCGGTACCCTGGCAGCATCTGGATGCCCAGCGCCTCCACCTGACTGGTATTCATGGCTCTGCAAGGGAGGAAAGGATCACCCAGGAGACTGGCCCTGTCTTTGAGTCCACCATCAGTGCTCCCCTCTAGCTCAGCACTCAGCCTTACTCTTCCACAATCAGCATTCCTCCTGGACACCACGGGCAGTTTCACAGAGCCTGGTGGCTTACACCTGTGTCTGGACTTCACCGCCCCCACACTCACTTACTGACCACTGTCTCCATCAGCAGGATCTACACCAGTGTCTGGCCCTCCCTCTGCTCCTCCACCACAGTCAAGCCTCCAATGGTATGTTCTAATTCCTGTCCTGGTTACCCCCAGCTCCTCCCAGGAGATCAGGACTCCCTTTTTGCCAACAGCACGGCCTACACCCATGCCCCCTGTCCCCCAGGGTTGGGACTCACTTGCCATCTATGGCCTCTACCAGCCGGAAGGCAATCCCCTGTGCTCGTAGTGCCCTCAGCATACGTTCATGCCGGTCCTGCCGCCGTTTTAGGTTGATCATGAAGACCTGCTTACCCAGCCCAGAGTCAGAACACAGGCCTCAGGCCCCGCCCCACCTTGGGGAGGCCCCGCCCCACCTTGGGGAGGCCCCACCCACCTCATCAAAGCCCATCTTGTCTGGCGTCTGGTCCAGCACGGTGATGAACTGGGATGGCTCAGCTGGTGGGTGCTTCACTGGGAGAGAGAGGATGTGGGGTCACTGGACCCTGAAGGTCAAAGGGGGTTGCTGGGGCCCCAGGTCACAGGGCTGAAGGATTGCTGGAGCTCTGGGTTGTAGTAGGGATCACAGAAGGCAAAAGTCGCTGGGGCCCCTTCCAGGAGGACTGGGTGGATGGCTGGATCCCTGAGTCACAGGGGTAGGTTCTCTCCCAGAACCAGCCTCCAATCTCTTCCCAATACCCCATTCCCACACCCTTTGTGGCTCCCTATTATCCAGAGCCCCAGAGCCTTGCTCTATCAGGCTCCGCCTACAGCATCCTACCTAAAAAGGTGTAGCTCATCTCTCTCTACCCCTCCTCCACCTCACCGGTCCCTCCAGCTGTATCATAGCCCCAACTCCTTCAGTCCCACCTCCTGATCTTTGCACAGGCTGGGCTCTGCTTGGGACACCCAGCCCTCCCCCTCCTCACCCATCAGTTCTGAGCTACCACCTGTTCTCCCTGGGGACTCCTGACATCCCTGGGCTGGGTCAGGGCCTGCTCTGGGTCCTGACAGCACCTGGGCTCCTACCATCAAAGCCCTGATACTGCTGTTCTAACTCCTGGGCCATGTACCTTACCTCCCCGTGAGCCTACGGGGCCAGGCTCTGGTCTGCCTGTTTATACGGGTTTCCAAGCATGGGGCCTGGCACACAGCAGGCACACAGTAACTACTGCTGAAAGGAGCAAGTGAGTGGTCATGGGCTGTGCCCGTGACTTGTCCAGACCTCAGCTTTCCTCATCTACTAATTGGAGACCATAACTTCGCAGGTGTGTCATGAATAAGGCGAGGAGATCACACACATCAAAGAGCTTTTAAAAGTAATCAGAACCCACAATTTAACAACAAAATCATAAAACAAGCCAATCAAAAAACGAACAGAGGACATACACAGACATTTCACCAGAAGGGATATCAAATGGCCAACAAGCAACATGGAAAGATGCTCAGTGTCATTGGCCAGCAAACCAAAAATCAAACTCACTGCCATCGAGTCAATTCCGACTCATGGCGACCTTCTTTGGGTTTCCCAGACGGTAAATCTTTATGGAAGTAGATTGCCCAGTCTTCCTTCTTCAGAGTGGCTGGTGGGTTTGAATTGCCAACCTTCTGGTTAGCAGTCAAATGCCTATGCCACCAGAGCTCCTTCACTGGCCAGCAGGCAGATGCAAATCAAAATCACCTCTCCCCTGACAGAATGGCAATAATAAAAAAAAACGACTGGTGCTGGTGAGATTGTGGCAAAAACAACCTCATCTGCTGCTGGTAGGAACGGAATATGTTGCAGCCACTGTGGAAAACAGTTTGGGGGTTCCTCAGAAAGTTGAACACAGAAGAAGCTCATGACCCAGCCACCCCAAACCTAGGTATACAGCCAAGAGTATGAAGGCAGGAATGCAAACGGAAACATGGAACAATTCCATCACAGCACTTTCCACAACACCTAAAAGCTGGAAATAACCCTGCAGCCTGAGGCGATATCTCTATGGAAACAGATTGTCTGATCTTCCTTCCAAGGAGTGGCTGGTGGGTTAGTAGTCAAATACTTTAGGCACTA